CTGACTAACACCAGCACTATTTTTTTTAAATTCGGTGCTTCTTATTGGTTTAAAACCGCAAATTGAAATCTCTTCTAACTCCCTCTTTTTATAAAATTCAGAGTTTAATTTCAGTTGCCTTGAGTACCGGCGTGACCTTCCTTCTCCGTGGGAAGAATAGACTAAGTGAACAGCCAAGGGAATGTTAAAGCTGGGACTACTGTTTTTGCTAGTCCGCTTTCCATTTCTCTCAGTTTTACCTTTTTAAAGTCGTCATAGTCCGTAGTCCGCGTTTTATATCTAGTCCGTGTTTTATACTCAGTCCGGAGTCCGTGGTCCGCAGTCCGCAGTCCGTGTTTTATACTGACCGCACCAATAATTGACAATTAATGAATGAGGCTGAGTATCTTATGAAGAATTATGGAGATCGAGGAGCGTGTTATCCGTCGAGGCCGTAGGCCGAGGCGGATAACACCCTCCGAGATCTCCATAATTCTTCATATGATACGAAAGCCGAATTCAATAATTGTTTTATTATTCAGTCAAAATAATTCCTAGTTTAAAAACATGGCTAAAACATGCTTACCTCCATCGATCCATCAATGTTAAGTTCATCTTCGATAGTGCACGTTTAGGTTTGTCCAGCTCCGCAAATATTCTCCAAATAGCAGATGTCGCCCTTCGAGTTGTCTTCTTGCTGTTCTTGCCATGTTTTTAGTTATTTTTTCGCCTAGTTCTTACTCTTGAAACGAGTGAAATGTCCGCCACTTGGATGTCCAGAGCACATTGCTGATACTCCTTGGCTTGCTCAAAGTCACCTAAATCCTTGTAAATCAAAGCTAAATTATTATAGCTTCTTGCAACATTAACATGTCCCGGGCCGAGCTTGTCCAGTTCGATGTCTAGAGCACGTTGCTGATACTCCTTGGCTTGCTCAAAGTCACCTAAATCCGTGTAAAGCAAAGCTAAATTATTATAGCTTCTTGCAACATCAACATGTTCCGGGCCGAGCTTGTCCACTTGGATGTCCAGAGCACGTTGCTGATACTCCTTGGCTTGCTCGAACTTACCTAAATAATTAGAAATTGAAGCTAAACTCGTGTAGCTTGTTGCAACAACAACATGTTTCGGTCCGAGCTTCTCCAGTAGGATGTCTAAAGCACATTGCTGATACTCCTTGGCTTGCTCAAAGTCACCTAAATCCGTGTAAATCAAAGCTAAATTATTATAGCTTCTTGCAACATTAACATGTTCCGGGCCGAGCTTGTCCAGTTCAATCTCCAGAGCACGTTGCTGATACTCCTTGGCTTGCTGAAAGTCACCTGAATCTGTGTAAATCGAAGCCAAGTTATTATAGCTTGTTGCAACAATAACATGTTCCGGGCCGAGCTTGTCCAGTTCAATGTCCAGAGCACGTTGCTGATACTCCTTGGCTTGTTCAAAGTCACATAAATCCCTGTAAATCAAAGCTAAATTATTATAGCTTCTTGCAACATTAACATGTTCCGGGCCGAGCTTGTCCAGTTCAATGTCCAGAGCACGTTGCTGATACTCCTTGGCTTGCTCAAAGTCACCTAAATCCGTGTAAATCAAAGCTAAATTATTATAGCTTCTTGCAACATCAACATGTTCCGGGCCGAGCTTGTCCACTTGGATGTCCAGAGCACGTTGCTGATACTCCTTGGCTTGCTCAAAGTCACCTAAATCCGTGTAAATCGAAGCTAAGTTATTATAGCTTCTTGCAACATTAACATGTTCCGGGCCGAGCTTGTCCAGTTCAATGTCCAGAGCACGTTGCTGATACTCCTTGGCTTGCTCAAAGTCACCTAAATCTGTGTAAATCAAAGCTAAGTTATCATAGCTTGTTGCAACATTAACATGATCTGGGCCGAGCTCTTGAAGCCTAAAAGTGAGTGAATATTCAAAATATGTTTTTGCTCCTTCGAATTCACAGTGCATTCGACAAACATTTCCAAGGTTTTCGCATTTTTCGGAAATCTCCTTACCATGAACTTGAACGAAATTATCTCGCAAAAACACTTTGTCAGTTACTGTAGTTAAAGCTTGCAAATGTGGAGCGATGTGTCTGGTGTTTAGTCGCTCTTTCTCTGGTGGAGTTGCGACGATGAATTCGTTAAATGATGTAATGACCCCACTAACGACCCCACCGGTTTGGCTTTCTGCATACTCTTTTGCTACAGTTGTTATGGCATTATGCACAACCTGGTGAAGTCGAATAAAACAGCCACCCTCGTCATCTTGGAACAGCAGAAGTGAGCTTCTTTTTAATCTCATGCGAATTAATTCTTTGTCCGCTTCATCAAACTCTTCATTTGCGTTCATGATGTAACTAACTGCTATGTCCATGTTTAATGGCCGTGGAGCGCAGAGGGCAAGAAAAGTGAAAAGGTGTTTTTGAACTTCGTCGGATCTCATCAGTGTTTCGACTGCTAACGTTATTGCTTTGGTCATTGAATTTGGATAAATTGGATTGGTGTCGAAAAGTGTATTCTCTGTTTTCTGTCTTTTGCCTTTTTCTAAGATCTTCAGGTATTCCCTCCACCCAAAATGCGTCGATACTTTGTCCTGCCGAATCTCTTTAACAAAGACGGCAGCGCCTGCTAAAGCAAGAGGTTGATAGTCCAGTCTTTGTGCTACGGTTCCTACTAGCTCGCTATCTGGGATACCAGAAAGCTTGGACAATAATGAACGGGCATCATAGGGCTCCATACCTTGGCTTACTGAAATGTGATTAAGGAAAGAGCTTTTTGAGGGAATTGACGCTGTGTCCTGCGTCGTAATGAGCAAATGGCCTCTTTCCCAAGCCTTTGAATTAAACTGTGGTAAATGGACATGCACAGATGACATGGTAGTGACATTGTCAACCACCAGTAGCCACGACGTGTAACAGGTAATTTTTACAGCGACAAGCATCTTAAGACTAGTGATCTTTTCGTCCACGGTCGAGTCCTTTGAACTGAGGATTTCCACAATTGAATAGTCTGGGCACTTTAAATGGCGAGTAAATGAGGCATACGACTCCAGAAGTGAATCTAGACTCGCAGCATTTAAGGTCATTACAAATGAAGAGCCACCTGGCATTTCTTTGAGGTCGTCAAAGAATCTCTCAGCTACAAGGCCAGCTAGCTGTGATTTTCCGCTTCCAGGATTTCCTGAGATGTATAGATAACTCAACCTGTTGTCACTGGAATCATTTAGTTCCCTCAGCTGTTGGACTATTTTGGCTACCTCCCTTTCGCGACCACCGATTTCATGCGAAGGTTTAGGAGAGAGAACACAGAATGAGGGTGCTTCATTTTGGAGCTGATCTTCAAGGACTTGGCGCTGACTCTCCTTTTCTTGAACTTCTTTGAGGACCTTTGTTAAATCTTTTGTTGGAAACGCTTTCTGATATTTTAGGTCTTGAATTTTTGCAGTGGGAAGACTAAGCGCTTGAAACGCAACATCAACTTTGCTAATAGCATTCTGAAAATCTGTCTCAGAGAGACTACCTTGTGGCATGTGAGCGAATTCTTCATTCCTGAAATTTCGTAGATCATTTACATTTTTTCTGACTATTGCGCTAAGACGTGGCCCGACGGAATCAGAGAAAAGGATAGCGTAAAGCAGCATTGTACAATCCCATTCCCCACTGTTTCCGTTTTTCATAGTGGCCAAAAGATGAGCGTTTCTTTTTTGATTTCGAGGAGACTCTCCGTTATAAAAGTCTATTCCATTACGTAGCTCGTCTTTCCATTCTCCTTTTGTTGATTTGTACAGTTTGTCCCATTCTTGTTTAAATATTTCTCTCAGACCCTCGGCTAGTATATCAGTAGTTACATAACAAATTCTGTAATAGTTTAGCTGTTGTTCCGTATATTCTTTTGAAGATGCCATACCGCGGATGTGCGTCTGATGCTTCAATCTTTGAGGAAAGATTTTCTCTGCAATTAATAATAATAATAATAAATGTCTTTATTGCTCATTAGATAAAAATAGATATCTAACGTTACAGGATAAAAAGATAAAAAGTTCAGCTAAATTACAATAGAATATAAAGATTAAAAAATTTGAAAAACTAGTTACATATATCTGACATAAAATATCATAAAAGGTTGTATTTAAAAAATAATCTATTTACAAATGTGACCTTATAACGTTCGGTGTTTATCTTGGGCCTTTAGCAGCTTTTACGTCTAAGGTTGTAGGTTAAATTGTTCTTTTCTTGCGGTAAGCAAATCTTTAGAGGGTGGTTATCACGCTGTTTAACTTTTTTTAAAAATCGCTTTATCTTGTTTTGTAGTAATGATCTAATATTTAACTGCGTAGATATAAAGCGCACCTTACAGCACCTGTCTAAAAGTTGCTGAAAGACATTAATTTCCCCATCGGAGGCACCATAAACAGATAGTCCGTAGGTTATGTTAGGGAGAACAATACTATAGAAGAAATAATCAATTTCTGTCTGGCTGTAGCGCTCTTTTCTACATACTCTCAGCACGTGTAGACATTTGTTGGCCTTGCACAGTTTAGCTTTTATGTGTGCAAAACATTTACAGCCATTCTGAAAGTTCAAACCTAATAAATCACGAGTGGCATGTTGTGCTATATTACGTACAGCACGATAGAAGGTGGAGTTCCCTTTCTTCTTTATGACACGTTCTTTACACTTGTTAGGGTTACAGCTCATGGAATTACAGTTAGAAAAGGTTAAAAACGTCTCCACTAAATCACTAGACGTATCACTGCCCCCACACTGGTGCGACAATGGTTGAGTCATCTGCGTACTTGAAAAGGGCGGGAGTGGAACCTTGCTTAATTTCAAGGTCATTCAGAAACACGTTAAATAGATAGAGGCCGCTCACACTACCCTGCGTTGTCCCCTTATTTACTCCTTTCCACTCGTGAAGGTGGTTGTCGTGGACTATACGTTGTTGTCTGTTATAAAGAAAACTGTGATACCAGTTGATGATATAGGCATTCAGGGGCAGCAACTTTAGTTTATTAGATAGTAGCTCGTGTCAGACTGAGTCGAACGCTTTGCTGAAGTCCATTGCGAATACCCGTACTGCCTCACAGTCTGGATTATCCCCGGGGGGGGACTCCGCATAGGAAAGGGGTGGGGATGCTCGTCGTCTCGCTTAGGGGTGTAAATTTCGGATTTTGGTCTCACTTAGGGTGTTCTGGGCAAAACGCGATATTATTTAGCCGTGAAGGTCTCGTTTAGGGTTGCACGCGAAAAAATATAAAAATATATATATATATTGTCTGTGTTTTAACATGGTCTCTTTTAGGGGTCAAAAAAGCTTGGGCCACGCCCAGATCGGTCTCTTTTAGGGGTTTAATTCAAAATTTCTGACGAGCATCCCCACCCCTTTCATATGCGGAGTCCCCCGTCCCGGGGGGATTATCTAAGTGTTTGTTGATTAAGTGCTGGATCACTAACAGTGCACTAGTGCAATTTCCACTTTCACAGTAAGCAAATTGAGTGGTGCTCAGATTTTCCTCCACAGCCTCCTTCCCAAAGGTGTTATAAAGCTTTCTCAAACGCGCTGGCTATAACTGGAGTGATATTTATGCCACGGTAGCCAGACTTTTCTTTGGGTATGTCAACCCTGGGTATCGGATTGATATTCGATCTTTCCCATGATATAGGCCAGGTGTGTCTGCGCAGAGACAAATTCCAAATATAACTGAGAATTGGTGATAAAATCTCAGCATGTTCCTTCCAAACCCAAAATGGGATGCTATCAGGAGCCGTAGTTGTTCGTTTGATCTTGCCAAGACTTTTCCAAACAAGCCTCTCAGGAATCTCAGGTTCTTCGATTTCGCTCCCGGCAACCACATCTCAGTGGTGCAATGTAATTCAGGTCCGTCCAAAGTTCATGAAAATAATCATTCAACTGGTTGGCTAAGGTGTTTCTCTAATACAACAGAGTTGGAGTGGGTGCGACGTTGTGTGATGTCGTCTACGGTTTTCCACCAACCACCACTACCCACAGGAGCGGCGAGATATGTCCTGTTTTCACAAATCAGTTCAGAGATGCGCCTGTTAAAGGGACAGTGTCCCGATTGTGCGCACGCGCGAGCGTCATCTGTTTTTTCTTCAAAAGACAATAGAACTGTCATATTGATTCGACAAGATTTCCTTCCGGAACGCACCGCCGACGAAGATTTGTTGTTTACAATCTCAAGCAATATTTCAGACTTTCGAAGAAGTTTTTCGTCTTATTTAAAATTTGGCTCGCGGCACGAAGACTCATCGCGATTTTGTCGCTAGCAGGGCCGCCTAGCGAACCGAAAATCTTCTTCCGCTCGCTTTAAAAACAGCTTTTCTAATGTGAAACTCGTGTCAGAGGTCAATTGTTCCAAGTCCAGTAATATTTGAAGAGGGTGTGAATGGGGTTAACCGACTAGCGACAAACGGCAAAAAACATTACCGACTACCGACAAAATGCAAAAAAAATTACCGACTACCGGCAGGAAAATTATTAACCGATTACCGACATGGACCGACATTATCTATATTTTTTCAGAAAGAAGAGTATATTGTATTTTTTCTACCTTTCTAGGAAGTAACCAAAGATACCACGTCACAAGTCTTTTTAAAAATATACCACAAAACGAGGATATTGAAATCGAAAAGGCAGAGCGTACGCCAAAAATTTCTACAACCCTCCTAGTCCTACACATTAAATGCGAGAAATGATTAGATAAATCCTCAAAGAAAATTCTTTCCAGTTCAGTGGAAAGCTCTACCTACAAACCTACCGTACCGCGATGGGCACAAAGACAGCAGTTTCCTCTGCCAACATTTTCATGTCATATATTGAAACACAAAGTCTAAGCTAAACCGTCTTTAGACCAGACATCGTAACTTTCTTCGAAGAAGCAAACAGTACATGATCCTACTATTAAATTCACCACCGAAATTCACTGAGACAATGTTTTTAGACACAGTAGACAATGTTTTTTATACAAAGGCACAAGATTAAACGAAAAAGTTATCCTTGATGTAAAGACTACGGAAACCTTCCAGCACACATTTTGCGGCTTGTCACCCACCGATTTGTCAAAAGAGTTTGAGGAAAGTGTTTCAAAATTCAAAAAAACACTTGATGGTTGATGATGAACAGAGGCTACCAACACAATTTGAAAGACAAATTGCAATCACAAATAAATGAAACTCACAGAAACCGAAGTCCGCGCTCCTGAAACAAAACCGAGCAAGGAAGGGAAAGAAATGTTGCCTTTCGTGACACAATACCAGCCCTTAGTGTCTACTGTAAAAGAAGCTTTAATGGAAAAGTGGAATCTCATACAAAACCAACCGCTACTTTGCTAATTTTTTAAAGAACCACCCCTTATTTCCTACAAGGCTAGAAAGGAAAACCATGGCAGAGAACATGCTTGTTAGAGCCAAAATATTAAAGTCACGCCGGTATAGATGTGCAACCTGTCACCCCTTGCAGTTTTTCACCAAAAATAATTTACATATCCAAAAGGTTAGAGTGGGCGTTTCCCACTGTGTCCGATTAACCTCTCTTCATTACTTTTTATGGTGCCCTGTAAGCAACAGGGCAACCAAGTTCGCATTTGCAATAAAAGCATTGGTGAAATATGCTATCATGTTGCATAATGAAGTTTAAGTTCAATCAAATGATGCATTTTTGCAATTTTTACATGTTTTATAGGGGTCAAAGTCGTGAAACTGAGTGAAACACATAACAAATATGAATAATTAACATACATTTTTACTTATTAACTAAGATTAACCGACAACCGACAAAGATCAAAAATTTTAACCGACTACCGACAAAGTAACTAAATTTTAACCGACTAGCTACAAGTGGACCCTCCCATTCACACAATGATTTGCTCGCGTTCTAGTCTCAAACGTTTGAAGGATATATATAAAAATGTAATCGCAACGCGATGAATTATCGCAAAGGTCAGTCAAAAATTATATTATGATTTCATTGCACTAGTTTTTCTAAACTTGTAGCGCCTGTTTGTTTGATTTTGTCGGCCGTAGGAAGGTTCCTTTAAAAGTTTACTAACGCGTCGTTGCAAAACATTCTGCTTCACGAAGCTTAAGAGGCTGTCCGCGTAAGAACCGATAAGGCAAATTTTGGTCTATCACGGATTGCCCTGATTTTTTCAGTGAAAGATAACTATCCTATGCCATGAAGAAATATCACATTTATTTGGACCAACTCAATTTTTTCTCTATTTTAGAGAAAGATTTTCTAGGTCACCTAAAACTGGCCAGTTTGCCGTCGGAAGTGGTGCGATTTTAAGGAAACTTTAGGGCTCTGTCAAACCTGCCTTACAAAGCTGAATAAGCTGATTATTTTACACACAAATGTTTTAACTCTGATTAATAGTTTCAAGGTTTAATGGTTGCATTCTGTGGAAAGTTGGCTGAGATATGATTTTTTGAAAATGACCTTTAATTTGCTTATCGGGAAAAGTAATTTGCATAACTAGAGCTGAACGGTAATTTCGCAAAAGTGGCACCTGACCCAGACTCAAGTCTATGATAAAACAGAAGTACTAAGACCAGTCTACTTCTTAATGTAATAAAATTTGTGGGCACTCTTCTTTGCGTGCTGTACAAAGTTCCGTTAATGTTCCAAAATTCGCCATTTTGACAGCAAAGCGGGAATTGTAACGGTCTGCATCTGGTCGACTAATTTCCACAGCTACGTTTCTAGTTATCACTAACTGTCATTAGACCCTTTAAATGTTGGACTTTCGAAAACATGTGAAGAAAACTTAGTAATCGCTTTTTCTTGTTTTTTTTCTTGTCGACAATGAACATGACTTCATTCTCTGTATGCAAATTAGCCTTAGATGCGTCGTTTCAACAACTTGACATGAAACATAATCCTTACATTTCACATCTCTAAGGAGAAAAATAACTCTCCTTTCCACAGAAAAACACGAACCATCACTTAGAATCCCCTTAAGGTCTGTTTTTTTTTTTTTTTTGTTTAACGAGGAAGAAGCAGCTGAATAATATATCATGATATATGTTTGCGTCTGTGGCCTGTCACGCATTCCTAGAGGAGCGGTCGATTAAAAAACAATAGCGTTGAATCGATCAATTTTATTATATTATTATCTCTTTTTAAATGATAGTTATTGATAATAATAAAAAATAAGAGTTAACTTGTAAGGTAGGTCCTCTTGTCAGCACAATAAAATTTGTGGGCACTCTTTTTTGCATATCAGATTTTTGTACACGGCACTATGATAAAAAAAATGCCCCACACTTTTTCTATCTCAAAAAGTTTTTTTTTTAAAGGGAAAATCCAAATATAGCTTTGCAAAAGGCAAATTAGCTTTAAATTTCAGTTTCATTCAAAGATCTTTAAAGGGTTTATCCGATAATCGGTAGCAGAATGAAACGGGAAAAATAGTTTCTTTTTTCAGTGAATACACACAAAAGGGATTATCTCAGTTTTTAGTTTTTGTTAGGGTATAACATCCGTATTCCCAAGATGATCTTGTTTTGGTTTCAATTTAATTGAATTATAATGCACGCCAGTTTCAAATATAATTATGTCAATGAAATCGCCGAAGAGATTAATTGTGAAAAATGGCTTATTCGGCTATTTCATATGATCAGGCTGTTCTTTCCGCGAGATCGTCAAGACAGAGTGTGGTCCCAGTAGGGGTGTGGAGGGAAATGTTTTGGTCGCAGAGTGCATGAATGATATTACGACGCACTTAGCCAGCTGTCACTTGTCTAAGTGTAGCAAAGTCAATGACTGAATGAACATTTTAGCGAGAGTAGAGGTTTGGTAGGTATTCGGAACTGAAATGACAATCTGCCCAAGGCAAAGACACTAACTTAGCCTATGTCACACCCCCACCCCTCCCTCCCCTTAGGAAAAATCGTAGAAGGGGCCCCTTCTCCTAGGGATTGGGGGGAGGGGGGGTGGGTGGTGTGTACACAGGCTAACACTAAAATGACAATCTGCCCAAGGCACAGACACCTACTTGGCGGGTTTTTCGAGAGCCAAGGTATTGTTAGGCTCGATTGTAAGCCGCTCTGCTGGAAAATGAGCCCCCAAGGGATCGGGAGACGGCGGAAATCGAGCCTAAGGTTTTGTCAATACCCCGGGTCACACTCTGGATCATACTGGCAAAATAATTACGGCGGCAGGAAGTAAGTCAAAGTTTTGCTCCATCATGTAAGTCTTCTTCAGGCAAAAAATTTCTAAACGTACAGAGATATTCTAATTTCTCCATTTAACATTTTATCTTTCGATGTTTTCTGATGTTCGTTTCCAGTTTATTTGAGCTTGCAAAGATAGTTTAATTATTTCTATTTTTTGACAGCCGTGTATCTTGCTCTAATCAATTCTTACCTATAAAATACTATACATAAAGGTTAATCCGTGTGTTGTAAAAGATAGTTTCCTGATGATTGTTTGAAGAGCACTATAAATGGGGAAAAAACAAAGAACTTTCTACACGGAGTCAGGATTCAACCTCGTCCCCAGGGCTTTCCCGCCCCTGCCATTTTCTAAGATGAATGTCCTTGGGACGTGTGTGAAAAGTATTTCATTCTTGCAATAAAAACAATTTTTTTTAACTTGAACAGTGTTTGAAACATGTCTCTGGTTTTAGTACCAGAATGTT